ATTTTAAAAATAACCAACTGGATGTCATGGCCAGGGATAGAAGAGGTTGGAATTCGATTCTGAGGAAGGCAAAGGCCCATCCTGGGCTGTCTGGCCATTGAAGAAGAAGAAGAAGGTCAATCTCATCATGCTTCAAAAAATCACAAATCTCTGAATAAAAAATTTCGCATACAAACTGATTCTGAAATCTCCAAAATGCTGATAATTTAGCAAATTCAAAACCACATAATAAAAGAACTCGTATCCCAAAAAGGGAAAGGTTTTTTTATGTAATATTTATTTTATTATTATTATATTTGCAAAAAAGAAATTACTTCGAAAAGTTTGCTTCAATCAAGGCAGGGCCTCGTGCTTCTAAACCTTGAGTATATGGCATTTATACTAAAAAGTAATTCAAATATTAACCCATCAAATACATATCTGTCAATGCATTGCAAAAAAAAAAATATTCTTCCAAATTGTTAATTCACACTCAAAATGGCAGTTGAAAACACACTGGAATGTCAGGTGAGTATAATTAAAGACCTTTTGAAAGTTTTGGGCAAAATACTTTGGGATTTTAAATGACCAAAAATTTTTTCCAAAAAACATACGGACTTTTAAGTACTTTTAAATTTTAGTGTACAAACCCTGGACTAAAAAAAAGGAAGAAAAAGCTAAATTTTTAAAGAAAGTCTATAAAAGTAATTAATAGTGAAATATATACAGTAGAAGTTTTAATCACAGACAAATTTTTCAAACAAGGAATGTCTTGGATGACAAACGATGTTGCAAGGTACTAACAAGTTAAGCCAGCTGCAAATAATACTCCAAAATGCAGTTAATGCACTGCAGGAAATGTTTTCAAAAGAAGATGGATGCAGAATGTTCCTAGTTATTTGATCCACAAAACTGGGGCAGAACAGGGTAAGGTGCAAAGGTTCATAGAATATTATCACCATAATAAAGCAGTAATAAGCTGCAGCACAAGTTTTTTCACAAAATCACGTCTCACTTTAAAAACATTTTGAAACAGAAAGAAATATATGATATTCAAAAACATTTTTTTAAGAAAAAATCTGATGTGTACACTACATAAGTTTTTTGTATGGAATATTAAATTATATACAATTTTTCCTGTATTTCATTTAAACTAATTTACTCGAATTTCATTACAGATATATTTCTCATTCAATTATTTCAGTTCTCACTTCGCAAACATGGCAAAAATAAATAAAACCTCAAAATATCTTTATTAACAATTGAAAAATATAGAAAGATATAAAATATAAATACAGTTAAATTTACAGTTAAAAAACAGTTAAATACACAAATACAATTTAAAGAACATTTTCTACAATTTAGAATTTCTATGCAAAAACAAGCAATTCAGCCAGCAGGTAAGAAGGCAGATTTTTCGGTGCACAAAACTAGTCTACTTTTGGTCTTGCTCAACAAAAAGTTGCTTGAAGGCGTAGAAAGTAACTTAGTTTTGTTGTGAGCGCTATGCTGAGTCAATATATGAGATAATTTAATAACTTAAATGATAATTCAAAAATGGATTAAGCATGGTTTAATTCGCTTTAATTTGCAATAATAGAAGATAGCGTTATGTTTGTTGTTGCAAAGCTTAAGTCTTTTTTTAGATTGGCAACAAATCCACTATTCTGCTAAGTTTCAAATGTAAACAAATATGGCTGCTATGGTAAAAGAAATTAGGCTTAGCCACACATAAACAACTTTGAAATTGTTGATAATTCTACAAATATTGCATGCATGTTATTTAAAGGCATAAAAACTTTTAACCGGAAGATAAGAACAACATACGTCAATTTTAAAGCAAAAAATGCACAATTTACCCAACGTATAAGAATAAAGAACTGAGCTCATGGAGCCAAGTAACAGAGTGGGTATATATATATATATATACTTTTGGCACAGCCGATTGCCACCAAAAAGGGAGGCGCACAACTGCATCCTATAGCAGTCCTATATACAAAATTTCAATGTTCCGAGGCTACTTGTTTTTAAGTTATGTGAAATACATACATACGTACATACATACACCACGAAAACATTTCTTCTGCATCCATTTTAAACCAGTTTTATATTTCTTCTGAAAAGAGTCCTTTATTCTATTCTTACATACTGATGTCATGCAAAACCATTATTAAATTGCATTTGATAGGAATCAAAATGGATATTTTCGTTAAAATAAGCTATCCGGAATTTTGTGATTACAATGCTTCCTTTACAAGGAAGTAAAAAGGCCCAGCGAATGTCAAAGAGGGATGAGCAGTATTAAGAGAAAGAAGAAAAAAAACCTTAGAAAGATAGCAGTTATCCAATATTTTTACAGAATTGGTTTTCCATTTCAGAAAAAAGCATTTTGCAACTTCAGCTTCTTCACCATTTTCTATTTACATTGCTAATTTTTTATAAAGTAAAATTTAATTCAAGCTTTCCTATTTTTGTTTTGTGTGTTTAGTGTTGTATTAAATATTTTTAATTTGTTAGACTTCCAATTATGAACTTACATATGAACAGTTCTTTTTTCTAAGCAAACATATGGGATCTAGGAACATATTAATTCATTTCACATTAAATCATAAGGAGAAAATTGCATCAGTTTACGATATTTTGGGTGACAAACTATCTTCAGGAACAAATTAATTTCATGAAGCAAGGTTTCATTATATTAAATAATTTATAATTTTATAAATTCAAAAAGTAGGCATCAAAAGCATGCAAGAAATTAATTTTACATTATTCTAACAACTATTTATAGCAATTTGTTTTAAAATCTTTAGGAAATTCCAGCAATGAGCTCCCTTTCTATAAATTATTATTTCCTGATTAATTGCACAGTCTTGCTGTTCTATTTTAATTTTGTTATAGGAAAATACTCACAGGAAAACAGTAAATTTACTTCGAATTTGTTATTCTGTTATAATGAACTGAATTCTGAATATAATATATTTTTTGGTGATCTAAATGTAATAAAAATTTTTTAATCCATTAATTTTGATTAAGAAGGGGGTAGCCACTGTCAAACCCAAATGCTTGCACAAAATGAAAATGCAGCCTAAAATACTAGGGTTGGAACTTTTTAATAGTGGCAACACAGCTGAAAAAACGCTATGCAACAAAACCAAAGAATATCGCATATACCACACGTGAACTACATACCTACCTTACATCTCAGCGAAAAGACTTTTCCTGCCTACGTCACGCACATGCGGAGTGACGCGAAGAACGGATCCTTGTATTAGCTCGCGGTCTAAAGTAAGTGTTGTCAGGATGTTTTCAAAACAAGAACAACGATGTTGGATAAAAATTGAATGTGCCAGAGGTCGTACAGCACGACAGTGTCATCAAGGGCTTCAAGAGGCTTGCGGGGAATCTGCATTGCCTTACAGAACCGATGGGTGAAAGCATTCAATGAAGGACGCCAAAACGTGGCAGACATGCTGCGGCCAGGTCGTCCGAGTGTCAGCGATGCAGACGTGCAAGCTGTTGCCGCACTAATGGACAGTGATCGCCGCCAAACGATTCGTCAGCTGGCCGGACAAACAGGATTAGCGCATACGACTGTGCTGCACATTCTGAAGGAACGCCTGTCCATGAGAAAAAATTGCTTCACGATGGGTTCCACATCAATTGACGGAAATGCAGAAATGGCTACGATACGATGCTGCCCGAACCCACCTGGAGCGCTATGAGCGCGAAGGAGATGCTTTTTTACGCCGTATCATTACGCTGGATGAGACTTGGGCCCGATCGTACCAGCCAGAACTGAAACGCCAATCAAACGAATGGCGTCATCACGGGTCACCACGACGTTCGAAATTTCGTCAGAACCCCAGCAATGTGAAAGTTATGGTGCTCGGCCACATGCAGCGCAAGCTGTGACTGATTTGTTCGAGCGATGGGGCTGGGAAGTGCTTTACCATCCACCATACTCCCCAGATCTAAGCCCTTATGACTATGACTTAAATCCTAAGATGAAGGAACTACTTCGTGGCACTCGCTTCCAAACTGTTCCTGAGATTCTTGCGGCAGTAGACCAGTCCATTCAAACTATCAACAAAACAAAACAGGCACTGCTACAGGTATTCTGCAACTTCCACATCGTTGGAAGCGGGTTGTACACAATGCTGGCGACTATATTGAAGGACTGTAAAACATGGTGACATGAATCACTTTTGTATTCTTTGTAAATAAATAGTTGCCACTATTAAAGTTCCAATCCTCATAGTAATGTCAACTGTAATGATACATTCAAAATGCATTACTATTCAAAATCATAAGCTTAAATTAGTTATTTGAGAAAACTACTGCAGAGTTTGATGGAAGAATAACTCTATTAAACCAATTTTAGGTTCACAAGCCTTTTTTTCTCCCTAGCATGATCACTGGTTGATTTGGGTCTGCTATGCTATATTCAGATCTCTTATTCGAAACGTGCACAGTACAAAGTCTGAGATCCAAATCATTGGGACTTTAGCATTATCAGAAATTTCAGCATTTCAAACCATCAGTTTAAATTTAGTAAGATAACATGTAAATATGGCAACACTGAAAATTTAATTATTGTTTAAGTCACTTTTAGCCCAAAAAGACCACTTTTAACCCATAAATGGTTGTGGGAGAAAAATGCTAATCTCCCACAACCATTTATGGGCTAAAAGTGTCACCACATCAATCGTCACACCACAGTGGGATTCCTAAGGAGATCAGCAAGTGTTCCAAAGTGGCACGGAGAAATCACGGTTAGTTTGGAGAAAAGTCACATTTACCGACACCTGCTTCCTTTTGCTAAGTATTATAATCCCATTCCTACACTTTGCACAGGGAATTTTTTTTTCACATTATTATTAGTTTTCTTTTGGGGGCAAGTGGTCTACAGATCCAGATACTAGACCATTCTGGACACTGGACATATAGATTTCAGACTTTGTACTATATTCACTGCATATAATAAAAAGGATTTAAATAAAAAGGATTAAAGAAAAACTTACACTTCAGAAACAAAAGCATCTTTTTTAGATACTCTTCCCTGTTAAAAAAGTAACAATTTTTAAAAAATGCACTTAAAGCAAAATGTAATTGTACTTCAAAATCACTACAATAATGATTTAATATATATAATCACAGTTTTTACACTTTAAACTTCACAAATACCCTTGTCACTTTTATTATTACTCATAATTTAAATAAATATGAAGTAACCAGACTGAAACGTACTGAACATGCATATAGAACACGGAAGCAAATTATACCATGGATATTAAGAAAAACTGCAATTATTATGGATTATCTCCCAGCCTTACGATGCCTTTTAGTTAACCCGGCGGAAGTCGCACCATGAAAAGTTACTAAAGTGGGTGCGTGGGGTATCACATACCCCAATATTTAAAATACAATAAAAATATTATTATTTAGTTTTTTTTTTTTTTTCCCCTCGTGTATTATAAAATAAGTGAATAATAATTGGGTTTCAAAAAGTTAATTTCTGAAATAATCTTAGAGTTAAAATTAAGATAAATGAAAATAATAAAAAAATAAGCATCATGCCTCTAAGTTTCATTGCATCTCTAATACACCATGCTTATTTTATTTCTTCAGAATTTGAAAGAAATACATTCATGTGTTCTTGGCACAGAATGTTTTCACATTTTAAACATTGCATTTACGTTTTTCTGTCCTTGGCGCGAGGACAAAATATGTATCACATCTTTCACACTTAGTTGTTTTGAATTTCATGTATTCGCTTTAATTCTTCGTCGAAACTTCTGCTTTTGTTTTGCATGCAGTACGTCAATTTCTTGGAAAAGTATTAATCTCTGATTCTTTGTTCAATACTTTTTTTTCATTAATTGTAATGCTAAGTCCTTCAAAAACAAACTTCTGTTTCTGGTTGGTGGATTAGCAGTTGAATGTAATATAATTCAAGCATTTATTACAGCAACATTCAGTGCAGGAAAGAAAATTACCATTGGCCACCTCCTTGTTATTCTGGCAATTGAATAATTGGCTGACTTTTTATCCCCTATATCCACTGCTCCTTTAGTCATATTATTAAAATATATAATTCCTGATGTTTTATTTTCTACAATAGTATCATCTATAGTATGATTGTTATATAATGTTGAAAGCATAAGAACAGTTTTTCCTTTTTTAGGAACACCAGGAATTAATGTTTTATTTTCTTCGAAACCAAAACATTGTAGAAAATATTCTTAGTTTCATCTTCAGTTTCCGAAATGCAATCTTCATGGCTTTCAAATATTTCTAATAAATCTCACAAGCGCTGCATCTCCAGTTCATAGGGACTCATTCTTTTTACCATAATGCAGTTAGAAATTTTTAAGAATTTTATGTCAAGTACTTTAAAATCACTTGCGAGTAGAAATATTACTGTTACACTCTAGAAATAATTTCTAAAACTAAATATTCAGTCAGAAAAACACTTACACGGACAGGCGCGTGGGGTGTGTCATACCCCAGTTCCAACAAAATACCGATAAATCTTTTTCTGAAACACACAGGCAAAGAAAAGCGGTTCTGAAAGTCAACCACAACTAGAAACTCAGCTACTGAACACAGAACAGAATTTCAGTTTCACAAGTTAGGAATATTCCACTTTTACGTATGGTTGGGGTATGATACACCCCACGCGCTTTCCTGCGGGTTAAAGGAATGAAAAGTCTTTCTATAAATAAATGAAATAGAATTTCATCATATAAGCAAAAGCTCTTTTTTTTTTTTTTTTTTTTTTTTTTGAGGACATAGTGAAGGACACGTGAAGCTAGAGATTAATACTACACACAACATCTATTTGAGATGTGCTCAAGGCTACTTTAAAAAAAAAAGCCAAACTGTATGCTAAAAGAAATTGTCATAAAAATTTGTGACCTTTGCTTCCAGATGATGAGTAATCCAGAACTATAAATTCTTATTTACTTTACACAGCCTTTGTAAATAAAATGAACCATAATGGTATAGAATATATTTGTTATGAGAATTACAGATCATTTTGAGAAAACCCCGATTCTAGCAAAATATTGTGCATCACTGTGCAGAATAACACATCAAAACAATATTCAGTTAAATGGATCTTAAGCTGCTGGTAGTTAAAGTTGTGCTGAAAAATTTGACTTTAACGGTGACTTTTTCTCAGAAGAGTTACACAAGGTAATTATGAGACAAGGACAGGCAAGTAGTCCAGAAACTGACTGAAAGTTCTTTTAACTACAGATTCACCTCTCTAATAACTGCCAGTTACAAAACCTGTGGAAATAAATGATGCTGAATTACTTGATCCTAGATAGAAATAGGACTGTAAGACTGCTATTTCTATCTCTGGTGGAGACCCTCATACTAGACAGGGAAAAAAAAAAGGAACAGAAGGAAACATTGAAGAGGTTACCTATCTTATTATTCGATATGGGTGACTGTTCTGTTAAAATATTTTTTTTTCTTTTTTTTTTTAATATAAATACAGTCCACGCTTATTTTCAGCTAACCTATTAACTGCCATGCCCCATTTTGGGGATTTGTCTTAGTAACAGAAATTTGGTAACTTTAAATTAGGTTGGCAATACATTGTTGTTTAAACCTTTCTCAAGCTTTTGCAAGAGTGTGATACAGTACAAAGTCTGTAATCCGGACGTCCATTACCCGGATCTACAATACGAACCTCAAAGCCACAAACTTTACGCATGTGCATAATGTATGCTTTACACACGCACGCGTTGAAAGAAATGTTTAATAAAGTAAACAAATAAATATTAAGTTTTTTTTTTTTTTTTTGTAAAATTTGATACCCTTTAGATCATAATTGCTCTTTATTTCAGAAATTACGGTTTAATATTTTTAATTGTATAATTTCTGCATGCCATCTTACCAGATTTAAATTGATGATCTATAATCCAGAATCACCGATGTTCCGACGAGTCCGGATTACGGACTTTGTACTGTAGTTGTTAAATGAGCGAGCTAGAGAGTATTATTTGTGAGAAGTAAAATTTTCGTAAGTTTCAAGATTTCAACATTTTCAAAACATGGTACGTCGTATTATTATGTACATCATTTACAAGTCTTGTGTACTGCCGTGCTCTCTAATGGTTTTAGAATATATTTACTAACTATTTATCGTCAATGTGAATTTTATTTTCCAGTAAAGGCTACTTGAATGTTGATCACTATTTGGGGCTTATGGGAAATTCCATCTCTATTCCATTTAAATTCGAATTTCCAGTCTCTATGTCAATCTAGACACCCAGAAATAAATATAAATTGACAGAAAAAAAATTGGCAGTTAATGGGTTAAGAAACATCATTAGTCCATTATCTGGAATGATCTATAATCCGGACCTCAAAGCCACCTCAAATATTTTCTCATAGAACCCACAATTTGAAAATAATGAATATTCCTTAATTCATCCTGCGAAACTCTAAACAGCTTAGATGAGACATTTTCATTTCTTTCAACAGAGTTGCCACTCAAACAGGAGAATGAAATTCCCTGACTTTTCCAGGTGTGTTTTAAGAAAAATTCCAGTTTATCCGCGTAATGCATGTTGGCTGTGCTAAGAGGTAAATTAATTATAGTATTACATGAGAACACAAAAATTTGCAAATTACATATGACTTATATACATATAATTCCCAAAGCATTACTATTTTAACTATAACAGAAATTGTTTTCTCAACTGAAGATTGAGATTAGAATCTGACCAATCTGGATTAAAAAATGTCTTTTTTTGCAGGCATTTTGCAGCTAAACAAAAAAAAAAAAGAAATATATTTAATGATATTTTAAATAAATTCAGGTATTTTATATTTATTCAGCAGCATACATAAGCAAAAAATATATGCATTAAATTTTGTGATGGTATGTCATCATACTGCTAGAATTCATTTCAGGATTTTACCAAAGAAAATTCCCTGATACTTGAAAGTATTATTTACTAATAATAAATAAATTTAGAGGGTAGAAGTAGCATTAAATGATATGAATAGCATAAAATTCTATAATCCGGACCTCAAAGCCACAAACTTTTTTTTTGGTATGCTTTATGCATGTGCGTTTAGCACATAAAACAAAGCAACTTGAACAACTTGCATTAAAAGAAATGTTTAATAAAGTAAACAAAGAAATATTAGGTGTTCCCCCCCCCTTTTAAATTTTGATACCCTTTAGATCACAATTCCTCTTTATTTCATAAATTACGGTTTAATATTTTTAATTGTATAATTTTTGCATGCCGTCTTACCAGATTTAAATTGATTATCTATGATTCAGAAAAACCTGTAATCTGGAATCGCCGAATTACGGATGAGTCCGGATTATGGACTTTGTACTGTCTTTGTTTTTTTCTGGCTAGTCTCATTCTTTTATCATGTGCTTGTGCTAGCTAGGTGGATTGGGGGCTGTGCCCTTATAAAAATAACAATAATAATGTGTTCTATAATAGTTCTGCTATGCACTTCAGAAAAATTCAAGGCAAGAAAACAATCACTTCGATTTGGAACATCTGAAACTCAAAAATGACCATTTGTAACAAAATGTTCAGCAAAACAGTATTTACATGAAAAATATACATACCAGTGCCACTGTCGTATCTGAAACAACCGTTACATAGCACTTTTTTTCTTCCTCATCCACTCTCAAAGGAACAGCTATTAAATAAAAATAAAAATACCACATTCAAATTAGATACTCTTTAAATTAAAATCATAGACAATAAATCAGTTTTCTCATATTTTAAAACAAAATTCTTAAATATTTCTTCATTACTCCAGACAAATCAGGAATTTAAACAATTTATACAAATAAAGTTTGAAAATCCTAAATTATTAAATAAAATACTGTCAGAAGAAACAACTTTTTTTTCCGAAATAAAGGGGAGATGCGATAAATACCATGAGCAAGCTAATAATTCTATTTTATTTTTAAAAAATTGCATAATTCTTTCAAGAACTATTATGAAACTTTCTGTAGCATCTGCAGCAATAGTAAATGTTAAAAGAAAACGTAAATAACATTACAAATCAATAAATTAGATTCACATTTGTGACATTATTCCAACTGATTTATAGGTAATGGGAAGGAAGACAAAGTTGCTTCTGAATGAGTTCTAGAGACAAAACTCAATCATGTCTCCTTTTTCCCCTTCATACAGCTGTGCGAAGGGAACATTGCATTTGAATGAGGTTAAACAAGTGAAAATATATTCAAATCAGTACAATTTTCCCTCTACATTTAAATACATTTTATGTCATTCAAAATTATGTCTAAATCATCTTATATATCTGTACATAATTCAGATATTTCTGTTATGTCTCTGAGAGCTTATTGTGAAAGCATAATACAGGCTTACACACATCATCAAAACCTGCGATTTGCAACTTATAAAGCTGAAGACAAGGGCCCCTCATTTTTACTGTATCTGATATGTGAAAGCAATTTAAAAGAAGTGACTTCAGAATGCATGATAATCAATTATATTTACAGTTTTAATGATAAACAGGAGATCACTTCACTGAGTGTTCAACTACTATCAAAGATTTTTTTTGGGGGGGGGTAGTCATCCAGAATATAGGATCATTTGCTTTGCCCACAATTTTATTAAAATATATTAACTTTTCCCAGGAAATGAATATTAATAAACAAAAAAAATGCACATGAAGGCTGAAATTATAAAAAAATACAATATCAAATTTCTGTAGTGTAATAAAGTCAAAAGTCTTTAATCCGGACGTCCATAATCTGGAATGATCTATAATCTGTACCTTAAAAGCTGCAAACTTTCTGCGCATTCGTTGCATTTCTGCGATTGCATTGTTCCTTAATCTCCTAATTGGATCCGCCTTATTATTTTTTGCAGACTGTTAGAGCAATTTTATAACAGTAAGCTTGAACTTTCGATTATGTCAAAAAGAATTTCCGATTCTGGAGCTGCTACAGGATATACAAAGCGAAAGCATGTTTTGATGTCCATCAACCAAAAAGTGGAATTGCTGCAAAAAATGGATAAAGGCATATCCTTTGTTTCTCTAACCATTCTGAAATCTGTTTATCAATTTCACGCTGCTCTGCGGAGGGGGAAAACGTCCCGGCGCGCAATTAACTGGAAGTTGATCTGTCAGCACAATCCTTATTCTCAGGGCAAATGTTTTTATTTTATTCGGCTTATAATTCCTTACTAAATGTAGTATTTCATCTCGTTGTATTCCGTCTTCGATATAATTTAAATCAAATTCCTCGTCATTATAGATATCATGAATACACATCAAATAGTTTTCTGGTTGCAATTTTCTAATTTTGACTATGCGTAATTTATTCTTTACGCATGCGCGCGTTGAAAGAAATGTTTAATAAAGTAAATAAATAAACATTAAGCTTTAAGCTTTTTTTGTAAATTTTGATACCCTTTAGATCATAATTGCTCTTTATTTCATAAATTACGGTTTCATATTTTTAATTTTATACTTTCTGCATGCCATCATACCAGATTTAAATTGATGGTCTATAATCTGGAAAAACTGATAATCCGGAATCACCGAAGTCCCGACGAGTCCGAATTAAAGACTTTTGACTGTATTCTTATAATGACTTTTTAAATAATTAATAATTGTTATAATTATTAAATATAATGCTTAATTATTTTTTACAAAATGTACAATTATACCCTTTATTTACAAAAATACCATATTGAACAACTATATTGTAAGCTAATAAATAACAACATTGCATTGTTTCTTATTAACTATGTGTCATTTTTCCTTTTCAGCTTTCTGTTATAGGGTAATGTTTTTAATTCCATTTCAGACAAAGTGTACTAGTGTTTCAAGGACAGGAAGGCAAGAATTTTTAAACTCAGTTAATAAATTCATGATCAATTGAAAATTCATAAAGACTTATTTTTATAATTTCTGCACGCCATCTTACCAGATTTAAATTGACAATACAGTCAGTCTTTAATCCGGACTCGTCGGGACTTCGGCGATTCTGCATTATCTATTTTTCCAGATTATAGATCATCAGTTTAAATCGGGTAAGATGGCATGCAGAAATTATAAGATTAAAAATATGAAACCGTAATTTATAAAATAATGAGCAATTATGATCTAAAGGGTATCAAAATTTACAAAAAAAAAAGAAGCTTAATATTTATTGTTTTACTTTATTAAACATTTCTTTCAATGCACGCATGCATAGCCGAAATTAGAAAATTGCAACCAGAAAACTATTTGATTCGCATTCTTGATATTTATAATGATGATGAATTCGATTTAAATCATATCAAAGACGGAGTACATCGAGATTAAATACTACATTTAGTAAGGAATTATAAGCCGAATAAAATAAAAACATCTGCCCTGAAGATAACGATAGTGCTGACAGATCAACTTCCAGTTCATTGCGCGCTGCGAAAATCAATGTTATCATAATTAAAGTGCATCTAATAATAACATAGCCAGCGACAATACAAACACAGAACAGATACTTCATATGCCTTCAAAAAAAAATTATAAAAATTATAAAAATTAAATATATATTCAAGTCCTTAAAAATACTACCAATATATAAGTTTCAAAAAATTACAGAATTTCATATCAGCACAAATATAGGCCTGCTAATGTCTGTACTCTTAAGGGCATTCCCACTGGGGTTTATCTGAGACAACTTACGTAGCCGATCCATCTCCAAAACCAGTTTTTCCCATAGGACAGCAAGTTGAAAAATCTGAACTGCAGGCATAGCGGAGCTAGTCAACACATGGAACCGACTTTGTCAGTCAGATAACCCCAGTCGGAACAGCCTTTTAGTGATGTCACAAAATGTTGGCTATCTTAATCGTATGTGAATGATACAAGGAAAGAGCCCCTTCGGAACCAAGACCATGTTGATGAAGTTATCCAGGTTACATTAGCCAAGTTAGGAGAATTTCATCCTTTGTCATGAAAGAACACATTAACCAACCACAACATCATTTTAGAAGGTTAAATGTCTATATGTTGAACATCTATTTAATTTATCTATTAATTTTTGTTTTCCAGTTTTCATCATGCTTTTAGAGTGTTGTGTCGTGTTATGCCAAGGAAATTACAATGATAGCCCTCAAATGTCAGTACACAGATTTCCTAAGCAATGAATTAAAAAGCTAGCTATAATCATAACAGTGAGAAAATTTACTACTTCAAAATATTCTAGGGTTAAATTAAGACTAATTTTATATTCATTAAGGTACTTGCTACTGTATTTTAAAAAATGGATAGATTAATATTACAGGATTTTATTTCTATTGTACACATTATGTATAATATTGTATAGTGTAACTATTAGCATAATTATGAATCTGATTGTATGTTTGCTAATATTCACTTAACTTTCTCCAATTTTTGAGTTTGATTAATTTTATAAGCTTCAAAATTTTAAGTTTGTATGTACATAACAGAAAATTTATTTTAAGTAACTTCTTAAGTATATTTAAATTTCTTTTGAGAAACTTCATTATTATTCATCGATTAAAAATTTAATTGCAACAATATAAAATAAATAAGCTAGTTACAGCACAAAACTTTATTAAAAAGTTGTTATTTAATGTTAATTTATACAAAAAACCTAGAATTTAAATGTAATAAAAGCAAGAACATTTTCAATGTTCAACATCAAAAATGTTCTTGCTTTTAAAATGTTACTAAACAACTTCGTAAAATGACAGCAGAGGAAAATTTATTTAAAATATTGTGAATTTCATTACGGGAAAAAGGATGGGTTAATGCAAGGGACATCTGATATCCTACTATGTCATAGCACTTTTCCAGACTTAATTAAGCTCTACCACATACACTCTGGTAACAAGGACTGGAAATCTTGGCTAGCACCTATTGCAATACAAGTTGTGTACAAATGTACATATAAAATCAGTTTCTTTAATTCTTCAGAGCTTTTGTGCTTATAAATTTACTCTGTTGAAATTTAAAAGCTTCCAACTTCCTTAAAAAATATTTCCATATATCCTTCCTGTATATCTGTTATACAATTAAGTAACTTCAATGTTATTAATGGGATGGGGAGGAATTCTCTTTTCATCATTTATTTTTCATTTAATTTTACTTATTTTAAGTCACACTGTCACTTTAAAACATTACTTCAATTGTAAACATATCATAGCACACAAAAATTAATTTATAATGTATTTTTGTACATATGAATATGTTTCTGATATTATATCAGCAAATGAATTGAAAATATATATTTTCATACCTATCTTTTCTCTCTCTCTCTATATATATATATATGTGTGTGTGTAATATATTCAAGAGCAGGAGGAGGAATATTGATTGTGTAGAAGTGCTGATCCATAATGACTAGGAAATTGGAGGCGAATGCAGATTAAATCTTCAGTTTTATTTTCAGCAACATTTTGCGGCTACACACACAAGTCGGCACATTAAAAGTGTCTGTTCCAAAAGGCTTACATTGTTTTTTTATAACTTTATAGCAAGAAAGCAGCAGCAGACAGACAGCTTGCTAGGCCAAAGCGTGGAAAGCAAGTGTGTTATTTTCAGGGTGAAATCTCTCAATAAATTATGATTGGACAGTTAATATTGCTCAAAAATTACTATTGGTTGGTTGAGTTTTAGTTCCATTTACATCATTATAATTACATAAAAATCATATGACATAGAATAGTCTCGAAATGACGCAGTGCAGAGAGGGGTTACTATTTTTAGAATAGAGAAGGAAAATTAATTTACGCTGCTAATTTAATCTTTTACATATTCTTTATTTTTCTTACATATATATGATATTTTAATGTGCGCTGCTTGAAAATGATGTGATGATAGAAGAAAGTGGTACTTTTAACATCTGACAGTCATAAAAGCTGAGTATAGAGGCATGAAGATGAAGCTGACAAAACTGAATTGGAAGACTCACAACATTTATTTTCTGTGCACATCAAACCATTTCTTTGTAGACAAGATATTTTTCAATCATAGCCAACTACAATAATTTTTATGTTACACGAGCCGAAAATAATACTACGCTATCCCAGGTAAAGAACAAAGGAGGACAATTAAGCACAGCAGTGCAGAGAAGTTTTTCAGAGCACAAGTTAAGGAAAGATGACGTTAATTCCTCGCAAAGCAATATTTATACTAGGCAGGTGCATGTGTGCAGCTAAGCTGCGATTTGTTATTTTTAGGTTCTCTTTGTAAGCAGCGTTGTAAATGTCATATGATTTTGAAAAGATCTCGAATTTGGGAGAAAAGATGAACTTAGGGAGAGAACTTAAAATTTAGAATAGTCAACTTTGAAATTGGCAATTATTTCTCAACATAGCCATTGTGTTTTATTAATATCTTACATATAGTATATATATACACATCATTAGAAGAAATCATCCTGTTAGTAAAAAAAAAACATATACCTCATACATATACTGTAAAAACATATACATATACTGGATAAGATTTTACAGCATACTTTTACAACAGGAAGAGGATGACCAATGGTGATTAGCAGCCACCAGTTTGTGACATCAAGATCTAGTAATTGAGCTCCTATTTAAGGAGGTATTGGTACAGTACAGAATGCTTTGAAATTTTAGGCTTTCAGTAAAATGGCAATATTTTTTTAATGTAAATATAATAATTACCTCTTATTAAATCCAATTTTTCCAGTTCACCTCCAAGAACTTTCATTTCATCTGGTGTTTTATAAAGATAAGCCTAAAATAATTAACTTGATATTAACACACATTAAGAATAAAAATACAAACTATTACTAAAACAGAAATTAGTGCAATTTTATAATCAAGATGTGGAAGGCTTTGATATAGAGCATACGTAATCAATATTTGGAATAAATGCCTTCCACATCAGGTAAGTAGATAAAAACTTTTATTTTACAGAGCCACACATCACTAAGCTGACTGCTCAAATAAAATTGATGAATTAAAATATTTTGCTCTTACTGTTTTCTAAGCCATGATTCCAAGTAATTCAGTGTCCTCTAATCCATTATCACACCATTTCTTGGTCTACCAATGAGCAGTTTGTTTTCCATATGATGGTGGTATATTGGCTTGTTGCAAATGGAATTGCCACTAAATAAAGTTTGTTTCAGATAAGGTATTTCAAGATCATCCCCCCCTCCTAAACCATAGTAATAACTGCTATAGTAGGCTTTCACTTTGCTAAAACCCCTATTTTCCTCTGTGTGGTGATATCACATATTACAAACGTAAATGAAGGAAGGGTTACTCTGACACAGAAGTGTTTATTTCATAGTTGTTAAAGAAAGCAAGCATTGAGGTTGACCCAAATTTAGAGTTCATGCAACATCATGCATGGATGATACAATTACAATATTCCTTTTGTTCAATGAGTATCAAATACTAAATAACGTCAGTATCAAATCAGTCACGAAACTCAGTCAAATAAATTGCTATACCTTTACAAACTGAGAAATTCAACAGCAGTTGCAGTAAAACACATCAGTAAAGATTCGGTGGCAAAATAACTAATGAGAGAACTGTTTACCAATGCTTTACAAAATTTAGCTCATGAAATTTGAGATTATAAGACAAATAGTACTACTGTTCTTCTTCCACTCATATAATTGATATAAATAAATAAAAGGATTTATCAAATCAAATCTACGACAAATGTGCAAAAGATTAAGTATGCATTTTTCAACTGTATTACGACACTTCAAAATAACATGAAAACCCATGTCAAATGGGTACCTACAGAACTCATTGACTCTACAGAACTCTAAAAGCAAAGCACAGCATTTGGGAGTCTGCTCTTCTGCCTCAAAAAGAAGAAAGATTCCAGCAACAAAATGACGGTAAGCAAATAATATACAATAAATATTCGTCACAGTAGTTAGATGTTATAAATGCTCCAGGAAAGACTCTATAAGCACTTTGAATATGAAGATAATGTTTATTGTGTGGAGTTCTGTTGGCATTATTCACTATTCATTATTTCCTCAACGTTAAACAATAAATATGGCTCAATATTGCTCAGATATGAGGCAAATGCTTGATAAATAATACATTTAGCAATCAGCACTTGTGAATATACATGGAATCATATATATTCAGGTTAAAGCTCAATCGCATATAGCAATATCAAGAATAGAGCAAATCAACAATTTGGGATACAAAATTGTGCCTCATTTTTTATCTTCTGACATTTTCCAAAAGATTACCATTTTTTGTCCACGAAATGCTTTGTCAATGACATCAGTTTACCAGGCAGTGGAAGGCACATCCAGAGACACCAATTTTTATAAACATGATACAGTACAAAGTCCGAGATCCAGACATCCAACATCCCGAATGATCTAAAATCCGGACCTCAAAGCCACCAACAATATCTTTTCTTTTTTGTATGCTTTAACTTTTACGCATGCGCATTTGAATTTGTTCTCCATAATAAAATATGTAGAGGTTCTGATTCTTAATTTCACTTAGGCACTAAATAAAATACCTCATTATTCAAGAAACAATTACTTTAGCATAAATTTGTGTGATCAGTAATTTGGCTCTGTAGCTGTGTATCTGCTTGGTCTGAAACATTCTACATAGAAACATCATTGATTTTACACTAATATTTTAAATCCCTGACGCCAATCTGGCGAACCATCATTATATTTTGCTTTCATCACTGCTTGTTTATCAACACATGGAAACTTGGGTACTGACTCATGCAGCAATGCCTAAATAATTTTTTTTATATTAGTAATTGGCTATATGTTGACATTACACTTGGCGACGATTACAGATAAGATAAATGCGCTAAGAAAATGTTGACAAGGAAAAATTTTAAAAATTTATTTCGATATGCTAAAAACAGTTTTTGTTAATGATACTCATAGACCAAAAGATTACATTAAATGCTGTTTGAATTAAGAATAACTGATTTGTTATTCACAGCAACCCAAAATTTGCGCCAGAGCTCGTATAACCACACCGGGTGGCAGAATTTAGAAAAGAGAAAATGTTTTGGGTTTAGAGAAGCAACAAATAGCAAAATTAAAGGATGACAAATTTTTCAGAATTTAGGGAAAGCACTGGGATCCAAAATTTAGGGACGGCAAAACTTCAGAACTTAGCAACAAGGCACTAGGCAGTAGAATTTAGGACCCCCAAGAGACTGCATTAGGCGGTACAACGTCTAGCGCCAGTCGTCGATAAACTAAGTATAAGTCAATAAGTATATGTGCGAATTTACTTCTTCGGAATTCAGATAAGCCTTAAGCATGCACAAAAAATAGGCGTAAGTACAATAAATAACTAAATTAATACAATTCAGGCTTAACAACTTCAGTGAACGATAGAGGCAAGACAAAATTTAGCGTAAGAACTTGTCTTTCTTACCCAATCTCATGACACATAGCCAATAATGTATAGCGAGCGTCATTAAGCTAGGCTAAAAGTATACTTTACCGATTCTAATGAATTCCAGTTAATATAGCAGATTGCTCTGTTCCTTAACTTTTTTATTTGATCCAGCTTATTATTTTTTGCAGGCTGTTATTTTTACAGCAATTTTATGAAAAATCAAAGTTCTTCTGTTGAACTTCCAATTATGTCGAGAAAAGTTTCTAATTCCTGAGCTGCAAAAGGATTTATAAGCAAAAGCATGCTCCAATGTCCATTAAACAAAAAGGTGGAATTGCTGCAAAAAATGGATAAAGGCATATCCGTCTCAAAATTATGCGAGGAGTATGGCATTGGAAAGCCAACTGTATATGACATAAGAAAAGAGAAAAAGGAATTTTGTGTGATTCCGACACTCCATTTGTAATGAATAAAAGAAAAAGTATCCGTTATGTTAGATGTGATGATCATGGCAAAGTAATGATTGGATGGGTCAAACAGCGTCATAATGAGGGCATGCCATTGATAGATACAGTGCTAATGGCTCAAGCCAAAATATTTCATGAAGAAATAAACTTGAAAACTGAGTGCACTATTCATCATGTAGATTAACCAAATTTAAGAATAGCCATGGTATAATTTATAATTGCCATATTCTGCATGAATGCAGAAGTGTAATCTTTTCGTAATCGGAAATAATACCAAACTTTAGCATTTAAAGGAGTAAAGAATTTCCCTGTCATATATCATGAAAATTAAAGAGCATAGATGACACAAGCGTTAATAAATGATTGGTTTGAAAATCATATCCAAGTCTCAGCAACATTTGAATTCGGTTGGTTCATTTATTACTTGAAGAAACAAAACTGTCCTGATTGTAGCCAACTGTTCAGTGAAGGATAATGTATCTATATTATTGTTTTCTCCAAGTGCTACGCCCATCATTCAGCATATGGATACTGTAGTAGTGCGCATGCTGAAATGCAAATATAAAGCAGTATTTTTTTAATCCATACTTAAATTTCTTGAATAATGGCAAGACTGTTCAAGAATTTTTGAAATATTTTAGCATGCAATTTGCTGTGTGCAGCATCACAAGATCATGGGAGGATGTGTCTCCAGATACTTTAAAAAGTGCTTGGCAAAATTTATGGCCAGCTACCATATTTATTTCATGGTGAAGGTGATGAAGATAATAGCCATGAATTTTAAAGTTTTTGGATATCGGAAACCAAAGGCGAAATTTTCCAATTAAAGGAATTTGCAAAGAAATGTGGAATAAGTGAAGATGATATAACAGAAGTTTTTCAATGCAATGGCAATCATCAATGAATGAATGGCGAAATCTGTTGCATGGTTCTAAAACTAGAAAATACCGCTACCAACACCATCATAAGGTGGTTGGAGTGGCTGTCTGAAGCTGTACTGATCCAGGGTGAGGAATTTTCTGCTGCCTTTCTGGGAGCTTAGCTGGCAGATATAGATTTAAGTTTCAATGACAAGTGCTTTGGCTTGTCTTTATTATCTGTGAACTAAGCCAAGTTAAATAAAAGGCATACTTGTGTTATAGCAGTTTAAATATGCTGGTGATTACACAATTATTTAAAGATGCAAGGAAGTCTGAAGTTACTGGAAGATTTGCAGAAAAAACTGCAGTTTAGCTACTGAAATAGCTGCTGAGAATTAATGTAGTTGTAAATTATGACCTTTGTGGTGCACTATACGTTAAAGATGGAACTTCAACAAAAAAAGTTGTATGCAGTCTATCTAGGCCTAAAGGCGTATACAGGAAAATTTTGTATAAATTGCACTTACGTTTTAATTCTGTGAGTGTTCCACTGCGCCGCCAGAAATCTTTAAAGTGCGACAAAGCGAGCATTGCAGTGAAGCACGGAAATGAGTAGGAACGTTTTTATAGTAATGGAAAAACATGTATTATGGCTGTATGCATGGTTTTCTGGATATACACAACATTCTTGAATATATATGGATAAATGAGATAAATAGATATACACAAGTCCTACATACAAAAAATATTTACAAATTTTTCAATTCCTTAGCTTTGTGAAACTGTTCAAAGCATGTCACACCTTTTTGATAGAAGCACAAGCCAACTTTGCAGGTTTTGAACATAAAACTTGTTTTGTACGGCTTTTTGTTCCATGCAACAATATGTTTAGAATTCCAAGTAAAAACTTAAAGGGGCCTAGGTGAGATGGATCACTAACCTTCTCATAAAATAAATGAGTTTCATCCGACATATTATCATCGGATTACACAAGTATTCAGGAGCATATATCTCAGTATTGCTGCTATCTTCATGCTCTGATTCAGAATAAGAGGGTAATTCACAAAAACTTTTAGCGCTTCGGAAAGACTAGACCTCTCCTCGCCATTTTGAAAATTAATAATAAAAATTAACTACAATTTATGCTAACGATAAAAAAATAAGCTATAAATTATCTACAATTATTTCAGACATTAGCTCTTATTACAAAAATGAAAAAAATGGGGAAGAAAAAAAAAGGACAGTAAAAAATTTGCGCGCTCAAAAAGCCGACTCAAGCTCCCCCAAAAAACCAAAAAAAAAACAAAACAAAAACCAGATGTTTTCAAACAAAAACAGATCGCTTTCATTCCCCCAAACAAATAGAAAAAACAACAAAAGGCCATTCAAGAAAAGCGAACGAATGCATCCCGCAAAAATGTATGAAAAATGTAAAAAAATATATAACAAAAATATAGAGTACGACGATCAAAAATACAGAAATTGTTTTTCAAACAAATTTTTTTGCATCACTAAAAAAATATAGAAAATTACTAAAAAATAGGCTGATTTTAATAACACATCATAAATGAAAATTCTGAGTCTCCTTGTGATATGCTGCCATAAACTATTTAAAAAGACAAGTATATTATAAAGGCATTTTTATCCATTTACGGTTGAATTTAACGGTTTCAGAAGCGATTCAAGTTGGGTGTTCCATGTAGTGGAAAACTTAGCAACAAAGGGTTATGGTAGAAGCCGATATCACACAAGCTAAAGGGTCATCATTTCTTTCCCGAGTTCAGAAGGTCTTGATCATAGGCACAGTGCAGATCACTAAAACCCTGACATTGGCCTTGAAATTATGACTTTTGTATTGCTATATGGAGGCATTACTGAGCTAGTTATCACTTCCGCAATGTCAGAACATATCATCTCATAAGAGCTGAAGAATGCATCTTGTGAGGGGACCAGACACAAATTTCTTATTTATGTGCAGTCCACCACAAGGGGTAATTCTGAGAGTTGGAAATGTTGGTCTATGTTGTACCCAAATGGATAAAGTCAATTTTCTAATATTGATTTGTTATGATAATGAGAAAGAGATATACACAGGGTTCATAGCCACATTTTAGTTAAAAAAATAAGCACCTCTATAAGCACTTTTCAAGCACATTTTAAGAAAAAAAAATAAGCACCTGTCTAATTACATTATACACATCTGCATAACTTCAAAAATTAGACTCGTAATTTAAAATATGAGAAATGCAGTATTTATTAAGAGAGAATAAGCATTACCTCAACCATGGAAAATAATTACTTTTTTTTTAAATTTTAAATAACAGTTCAATTACAGAACTAGTTTACAATGAGAGAAAAAAAAACTATGCAGAGCTAAACTATATTACAAGATTTAATGATGAAATTTCAGTTCAAAATAGAGGAAATAAATAATAATAAGGCATATTTATTCTATTCACTTGGAACTTAATAATAAATACAATTTATTTTTCCACTCATACTGATATTTAACTAATTTAAATCTAAATTCTAAACATTTTCTAAATTTTCATCGTATATCAGTTTTCCCTCAACAGATACTGCAAGCAAAGTAATTTAAGTAAAAAAGAGGAGCATTTCTGAAATCAGAAGAAAGAAATTTGCTTCATGCAGTCATCCTTTAACAGTAGAAGCTTAACTACCCGCATACTTGAAAATTGGCGAATATTCGGACAGTCGAGCGCAACTTGAAAAAGGGGAGCGGAGGGAGAGGATAGACTGTAGCCGTTCTTAAATTTTTCCGTTAAATAAATGCTTTTGACATTTCAATATGTGCATCATATAAAAACAAACTAACGGAACAGAAAAATATTCTGCTTAGCAAGCACAGTAAAACTCTTTTAAGTGTTCATAAACAAATCTCGGACCGAACATCAAAATTAATTATCTCTGCAAAATATCGCAAACGTTATTGCGCAATACGTGTGCCGTATATTCTAATTCTTCCCTACATGATATTATGCAATCGGATTCAACAGCTGCCGGTATTGGGAGAATAGAGAACTAAATAAAGGAAAATGAAAGAGACTTACCAATCTGGGGTGTTTTTCATTCTAATTTTTAACAGACTGCGTTAAATTTCCGGAATAGAATCATTCTTCGCTTGGTTTGGTAGACCGCAGAACTTTTAGTCCTATTCAATCCAGATTGGAAAGTGACAAAAAAAAAAAAGGGGTCCGTTGCTTGTTTTGCGGGGAACTGTAACAGTTTCAATATTCGAGATTTTGCAGACAAAGGGGAGAACCTTCCAACCTTCGTACTGTATAATGTATTGGCCAAAAATATAAAATTATTTTGACTATTCGATTACTTTCCCTTTATTTAAGCCATTCCGAATATTATTAATTAGAAAGCTAATCTGTATTAAAACACAACCATTTTTGGAAGTTTACTATACTTCAGCAGTTACTGCAAATATGTTATTATAAACATTCATACATATACTCATAACATATGCATAACGATCATAATAGAAAGGAATATGAACTGACCAAGCGGAACGAGAAAGCAAATTATTAAGATCTTGATAGAAATTCAAACGTGTGTAGTATTTGGGTGGGAGGAAAAGAATGCTGAATGTACCTGGAATTTTCTATTTTCTACCACCGCTTTTGCAATTCTTTGACCAATAAGAACGATGGGCACCTGTCTGTACTCTCCCGCGCACCAAAGGTTATGTTAATGCAGAGAAAGGGGGAAAAGCTATTTCCGGGAGTATGATTCACCATCTGACATTCCATATTAGGAAGAAAAGTTGTTTATTTAGTTTCGGCTTTGGTACGGGGAAAAATTGCACGTTCATTTTAAAAAAAGCACTAAAAGCAAAAAAATAAGCACTAAAAACAAAAAAATAAGGGCTTTAAAGAAAAAGTAAGCACCTATAAGGGCCTTTATATTTTATTTTCAAATATAAGGACTTATAAGCACTTATAAGGACCACTACGAACCCTGTATACAGGAATCTAACATTTAGATCTTTCCTTAAATTCCCAAACACAGCTGCAGACACTTTCAAGTACTACAATTGAAAATCAATGGTTTAGCCATTTTTGTTGGATTGATTTCAAGAAAAATTCAATAAAATAAAAGTTTTTTTTTTTATTACTCACGCATAATTCCAGGTCATCAAGCTTGATTTTAACCTTTGATTTTACGGGAATGAACGAAATTAACTGTAATTCATATTCATCAGGCATCACAACACATACTTGCAAATATAAAACATCGTTGTACGTCAGAACCTGAAAATATTATATTAGATTACATTATTAAAATATGTGAACATTACTCAAACACAAATACTGTCTAATAAAATTCTACAATTATAAAAAATAATAAGAACAGTCTCTGTTTAAATATCTACAGTATAGTGAAAACAAAAGACATTATAAAAATTGTATAAAAATTATTACACTTGTAAAAGCTTTCCTTCTGGCATCTTTAAGGAGCTTATTTTTCAGGTATACAACAGGCGTAAGAGGAACTACAGAAAAAAAAGTGAAATACTTCAATATATATTACACTTCATATTTTTTCAATAAACAAGCATTAATTTTTGAAAACATTATATACTACACATACATTAAATTGCAGAAGCATACACTTATGCACATGTAAATTAGGCGGCATAAAAGTGTTTAAAGTGATAAAAATACAAAATAACATGAACGATAACTGAACAGTTCTATGCATTAAGAAATTAATATGAAAAGTTTTAATCCAGGATCAGTGAGTTTCAGATGAATACATCTAGCAAAATTCACAGCAATGGATCAGAAAAATGCAGGCCAGCAGAATAGCCAACCTGCTCCCAAAGAAGAAAAAAAAAATACAATATTTAGAGATTTATTGCTTGTGCCCAGCTAATGAAAAAGTGATTAGCAGATCCGCATGTAAACCAACCCCTGTAATTTAGCTTTAGAAAAAGTCCCAAAAAATTGGCTCGTATACAGATATATATGATAGTAGTTATTATAGAATGAAACAAATAAAATATAAAATGAAACTGTATGAAAGGGTTATGTAATTAAATTATATTAAAAAATTACATCCAAAATTTTTCATATGCTTAAAATCTGAATTTTATTTTGATTTGTGCATTCAAATATTATTCCAAAATAGAAAAAACACTTTAATATCAAGTTTAACGAAAGTTTCCAGTTACCACAAATATCTGGGCAAACAGTTTGCATTGGCATGTTTAGTCATATTTTGACAAACAATTTTTGGCATCTGAAAGAAAAAGACTTGCTTTAGAACACTGGTTTGTGAAATTTGTAAAAACAAATATTAGTGTACAAGGTGTCTGAAATGGAAATATCATGCTAGCAGATTAGAACCATCATTCACTCCCAATTCTATAGCAAAAAGTCAGCCACAGAATGTCACTAAATTATGTGTACAGCTTTAGGTACTAATATTGTATCATATGACACTGTGAAGGTTTGGTACCGAAAGTTCAAAAATAACAAACAACTATGACATTCAAGAAGCAGAGCACTCTGGATGGCCTATTAATGTTGATGAGGGCAGCCTACGAAATCCTGTAGAACATCCGTAGGCAACCAGCTTGCTAAGGAGTTGGACATTAGTGCCATGTCTATTAGTCGTGCTATGCATAGCATAGACTTGACATCCAAGTTCAACTGCTGCGTGCCGCATGAAGTGACTCAAGCAGATAAGGACAGACGTCTTAGAGCCTGCACTAATCTGCTTGAATATCAATGCAAGGACAGAATTCTGGACAGGATCATCACTTATGATGAGAAGTGGATTTACTTTAAAACACAGGCTGGAAAGGGGGTTGGTCTATAAATATCTACAGTCTAGTGTCGGCAGCATCACAAAGCGGAATTTGACTAACGAAAAGTTCATTCTTTGTATTTGGTGGGATTGCTGTGCTATTATCCACAAAGAGTAGCTGAAAAAGGTAAAACCCCAATAGTAAGGTGTGCCAGACATGAAAAATTCCAACTCCCCACAGATCAAACTGCACCAATAAATAATGCAGTTTCTGAAAACATGCACATGGGTTCAGTAGAAAATATGAAAACCTTACCTCAGATCTTCATGCCTAACGAACAACGTCTAAGTTTTTAAGATGGCGTATCATTCAGTGGAAGAATATCAGACTATTTCTCTGATGGAGCCCCCGAGGCAAGCGACAAAGTGACCTTTTTTTCCCCCTTGCTCTCCACTGCAACAATGGAGGAAGAAAGTAGAAGGAAACGCTGTCCTTTTTTCACATTTGACACAGTACTGCCATACTTCGATAATCTAAGGCGATGCTGCACCTTCCACATGTGAAAATTCCACATGTATAAAAAAGCAAGGACACTTGCACTACAAAAAAAATTCACTGCCTTCGTTCTTCCATGACTGCATTTGTTTCAACAAAGACTTCATGTCAGAATAATTTATCTCATGTGCCCACTGCAGCTCACCAGAGCTGGCGAAATCATGCTTCACATGGTAGTTCCCCTTTATTCTGTTTCCAAGGACTGGAAAAGAAATATTTAAAACAGCCAACTATATCAAACCTTTTTGCATCCTCATCTAAACAAGACGATGGACTACAAGCCTTATATCATTGTTGATCCCCAAAGCGGAGAAAAACGCACCTTACCTGGCAAGGAATTGATCTTGATGACAGTTAAAGAGGTAACAAAAACTGTTAATTATAAGATACTGTGAAGGAATATCTGCATTCTGACAAGTATATTTGTATTTTGACATTGCATGCAGTATCCAGTTGCACTGCACCTATGTAAACTCACTATGACGCAAGTACAAAGACTTGAACTTTTTGCCGAGAGATTAATTTGCACTTGTACTTCAGTGTTCCTTCTTGTTCAAGGTCAACGGCGTTGGCTTATCATCAAGTATTTAGTTTGTGTTTTACCTTTTATATACAGTTAATTTTACGGTTTCCTAAACTCTTCGGCCTCCTCTTTCCCCCCCCCTAACCTTCTGACAAGTTTGGAGTATCGTGATGCAAACAATCGCCATAACACCATTACATATCATCACAAAAATTCTTCTGAGTAATAATTCATTAAAAAGAAAAATGCTTGAAATGGTCAAACACACTGAAATAGCATTATGCGATTACTTTCAAATTTTCCATTCAGCTTGATGAATCAACTCAAACAAATAACGAAGCACTACTCTTATATGTTCGATTCATAAAAGAAAAAGAAATTTATCAAGAGTTAATATTTGCCAAAAATTTGAGCATCCATACAAAGGGAGAATCAATATTTAAAAATCATCTGCAAGTTTTTTTTCAAAAGAATGAAATTCCCATTTCTAATATTTTGTCAGCTCCTAATAATGGTGCTCCAGCAATGGCGAGGCATCATAAGGGTTTCATAGCACATTTGAAACATGCAAACCAAATGTACTCACTGCGCATTGTGTTATTTGTAGTCAGGATTGGATGCAAAAAATCTGAATTAATATCCACATGTGTCGCCTCATTGCATTATTAAAGCTGTTAACTGAGATTAAAATCAATTAGTGCATGATAGATTATTTGGCCAACTTTGTAGGGAAAATGATGAAGATTACAATCGCCTGCTGCTGCAGTCAGAAATTTGTTGGTTGTCCAAAGGCATTTACCTGAATTGTTTTACAATTTTTTTGACTCAGTACTCTAACTTCCATGAAAACACAGATGAAAAACTGCATGAAGACCTGATTACATCCAAAAATGGCATCACTTATTAGACAGACTTGTTTAAAATATGTCATATAAAGTCAATTTACAATTGCATGATAATGAAATTAATTTAATTAAAAAAAGTCATAGCTGCTTTTGTGGGAAAACTTCCTGTCTATCGAAATCTAGGTAAAAGTGATTACAGTCACTTTCCTGCATTATCAGCAATCTCTGCAAAAATAAAATTTACTTACTTGCTGCCAACACTTGGACATTCTTCATGGGATTTTATTGAATGATTTCAGGATATTTTATATATCCCATATATATACAGTCAAAAGTCGTTAATTCGGACACCCATAATCCAGAATGATCTATAATCCGGACCACAAAGCTACAAACTTTCTGCGCATGCGTCCGTAAGACCTTTACCGCTGTGAATTTGCGTGTGCGCAAAATACATTTAAGAATGCGCGTTTAATGTATAACGGATGGGATAAGCTAAGCTAAAATTATCTAATTATCTATTTCAGTTAATGTTGCAGATTGCATTGTTCCTTAATCTTCGAATTGGATCCGGATTATTATTTTTTGCAGACTGTTAGAGCAATTTTATAAAAGTAAGCTTGAACTTTCGATTATGTCAAATAGAATTTCCGATATATATTTACTAATATGTAAAGGATATACAAAGCGAAAGTATCTTTCGAAGTCCATTAAACAAAAAGTGGAATTGCTGCAAAAAATGGATAAAGGCATATCCTTTGTTTATCTAAACTTTAACGTTTGTTTATCTAAACTTTGTTTATCTTTAACACTGCGGTGGCCTGCAATGAATTGGAAGTTGATCTGTCAGCACTATCCTTATCTTAAGGGCAGATGTTTTTATTTTATTTGGCTTATAATTGCTTACTCAATGTAGTATTTCATCTCGTCTTTGATATGATTTAAATCAAATACCTCGTCATTATAATTCGCTTCGGATAGCGAAGAAAGTAACAGAGGTTATTGAAAACGAAAAAATTTCGAATGACAAATTAGTCGGTATTCTCGACACAGCAATTATAGGACTTGAACAGCGGAACTTTGTAACTGAACAAGAAATTATGTCTGTTTATAGAATTAAAGAGAATGTATTATAACATAAAAAACGAAGCAACTTAAACAACTTACATTGAAAGAAATGTTTAATAAAGTAAACAAATAAATATTAAGTTTTTTTTGTAAATTTTGATACACTTTAGATCATAATTGTTCTTTATTTCGTAAATTACGGTTTCATATTTTTAATTTTATAATTTCTGCATGCCATTTTACCAGATTTAAACTGATGATCTATAATCCAGAAAAATCGATAATCCGGAATCGCCGAAGTCCCGACGAGTCCGGATTAACGACTTTTGACTGTATATATATATATTGAATATACTGAGTTTCGGTTTTAGATCCTTTCGCAAATGCTGATACAGCATAATCATTAAACTTAGAAGAGAAACTAGAACTGAAAGTAAATTTCAGAAATGGATACCAAAAGCTCTGGCTTCAAAAATTTATACCTGCTCTCTACACTCGACTGACTGCAAGCAAGATTATAGAAATTTTTATCTGCTTTTCTTTTAATGAATTTGGCTAATTGTTGATTCAGAGCAGTAGCTAATTTATTGTCTAAGAAAAAAACAGACTGCACATCACTAAACATGGCAATTCGCAACTGATATTAATGGAACTGAAACCTAATATTTAACAAGTTCTTAAAACTCTCCCAGCCTCAACCATCTCATTAATGTTTTTATATCAAACTGATTTTGTGTTTATTTTTAAAT